TTGGATTGCACTATGAAACTGGCGAGGAGAAAAGCGCGAAAACCAAGCACAGGCATGCTCAAAGGCTGTCTGTTGCAGCTTCTTTCAAGCCTGGGAAACAACAGGGGATGGCTGGCTGTTGCACACCTTAGGCTGCCTCCCGCTGAGGCCCTCTGGAAACTCATAAAGTGTCTTACCTGCCCTTCCAGGTTGCCTGGGTTCAAAGAGGCGTTTCATAAGACAGACTATAATTAGGGATTTTATAGTTTGTTTTGTTTTGTTTTGCTCTCTGGGAACAGAAACCTCCTCCCTTATAGCACACACTTGTTGAGCGCCCTCTGTACGTCAAGCCCTGGGCTAGCACATTTTACGTTATTTTGTTGAATGCTCACCACACCCATGAGGTTGGCATTACCTGTTGTAATTTTGCTACATTTATTTGTACAACTAGTAAGACATAAGCAGGAATGAATACGCCTAATGTCTGTGGAATGAAAAAGAAAAGGTAAAACAGAAACCTGATGGGAGGGTGGTGATGTGTAAAACAGGAAGGGGGTGGGTATTTATTGAAACACTGCATCTGATGATCTGGCTGGAGCATTGGGCTTCCGAATTGATCCTACCCAAGGTTATTGTGTGAAAACAAAATATGAGGAAAGGTCTTGCATTTCCATACAAAATAAGACAACAGGGCCCAAAGAGAAAGAAGGAAGGGGTGGTGCTGCTGGGGGAGAAAGCTTTTTAAAAAAAGGAGTGAGTGTGTGTGTGTGTGTGTGTGTGTGTGTGTGTGTGTGCACGTGCAAAAGTGACGCTGAATAATAGTGTGAACCCACAGTGCTTGCTCACATTCACAGGCACTAAATACAAGAAAATACCAACAACCACGGAGCCACAGGGATGCCATTTATGGATAGAAGCCATTTTTGAGAATGAGAAGCCTCAGAGCAGGATTATTGCTCTCGTTAGGTCCCCCTGGGAAGTAAATTGGGTGTGTAAGGAGGTGCATTCAATTCTGTTAGATCTTCAGTTGCATTTATTGCAGTAACAATAACAATATGCGGCTCTTGACTTCCAAAGGGGACTTTCTCAATGCAGGAACCAAGCCCTCCTCTGTGTGCTGGGATTGGGAGGGACACAAAGGCCCAGGTCACGCTATCCTTGTGTTTTGGAGAATTGCAAGCCAATTGGGGTGATGATACACCACATTTATGGACACGTGCAAAGTAGATGCCAGGTAGGAAGACAGTAAATTCTGCATAGGACTCGGGGAAGTGGAGTTGTGTCTGCCTGCAGTTAGATATTCATTTATTCATTCATTCATTTATTCAATAAGTATGCAATGAGTGTCATTATGACCTCCCACATGCCAAATATTCTGAAGAAAATGATGGACACATCAGGATATCCAATTTAAAGTCTAGTGAGATGGAGTTGGTAATATCAGTTTCTATTGGCAGAGGTGGATTGTATCCCTGAATTATTTCAGCCCCTCGGATAACCTACGGATGATTTAAACAAACATTTCCTTGGTAGTTGGGAGTCTTTAGAACAAAAGATTTCTATGTTAAAAGTCCACTGGGTGTTGTTCAATGTTCAGCACTAAATGTTGTTCTTCTTAGCACCCTTGCCAAGTAGAGCTAACCACCCAGACTTCTCCTGAAATATGCTTCAACAAGTAATCATAACGTGAGGAGATTTTAGAACTAAAAAAACTTCACGGTGATCAGTTTTTACAAGATTATTGATCTCTCTTAACGTTTCCTAAATATAATAATCATAACGATGAATGTTCATATCTTGCAAGAATACCATGAAGTAAGTACTATTATTATCTCCATTTTACAGATGAGAAAACTGACGTCAGAGTGAGTACGTGACTGTGATCACACAAAGCCGAGGGCAGAGTAGTGATGGGGCTCCGTCCCCAAGTCAGCTGACTCAAACACTTATGCTCTTTTCTACTCATTTGTGTTGTACCCGTGGGAAATAAACGTCCCACCATTGCTTTTAATGTTTGAAAAGGCATAATAGAAGTTGTGATTTTTTTAAAAGCAGTCCATGGTGATGTGTGTCCCACTCGGTTTAGCCATGTTGGTCATCTCACCAAGGCAGAAGCACGGGTTGACAATTAGAATAATTCTTATTCACTAAAATGATTATTTAATAACTGTCCCTTTAAAGTAGGGGGTCACCTTGGTGGGGAAACAACATTTCACTTCAAGACTCTCATTCCAGATGAGGAAGCCAAAGCCTACCTAAGGAGTTAGGCCAGTGTCTCTGTAGAGATGCCTCTGGGAACACAAGGGGTCGGATGGGCTGTTGCAGTTGGGAGAAAAATGAGTTGGGGAGCTCACTAACCACAAGTCAGTCAGTTCAACTATCCAAGACATTCCTTGTGGATCCAATTCACATTTGAAGTGCATGGGACACCATCTCTACTTAAATAGTGAAAGGCAGTATCAGAGAGCAACCTAGCTTTTAAAAATCCATTGGTATTAAAAAAGATTCTAACCCAAAGGCATCATTATTATTCAAATATGTGGAAATCAGCAGCTTACTGAGACAAGAAAACAGAACGTGGCGCTAACTGGTCACAGAGGCGTGAGGGACACATGGATTTCATTGCAGGATGCCCTGGAACCTACCTCTGATACAAACTTCTGAAAAGGTAAAGAAGAAAGGCAAATAACCCATAATGGCTTATCTGTGTTTGAGTACTGTCAAACGCTTCTAACTGCTACTGCTGACAACAATCCTATCTGCTTCTTTCCATCTGATAGTAGCCTGGTATTCTCCAAAAGAAAGGTAATTAATAGCTGTTCAGTAAATAACAATTAGACTGGGGCTCCTCTGGGACTGGGGCAAGTGTCTTGGCATCTAGGTAAAAAGCCTTGAACACATTAAGAGTTCATTAAGTAACTGCTGGATAAAGGGTTGAATGAAATGGAATAAACAGCAACTACAAGTGTCGTGGAGCGAGAGTGTGTTCTGAGAAATAGATTGTCAGGCAATCTTATTGTCGTGCGAACATCACAGACTGTACTTACGCAAACCTAGGTGGGATAACCTACTCATGCCTAGGCTGATGGTCTAGCCTATGGCTGCCGGGCTACAAACCCACACAGTGCTTGACGACTGAATACTGGAGGCAGGTGTAACACAGTGGGAAGGGTTTGTGTATCTAAACATAAAAACGACAATGTGGGACCACTGTCATAGATGTGGTCTGTCGTGGACTGAAATGTCCTCATGCAGCACATGACTATATGTCCTCAGATCTGTTAAGAACTGTAAAACGCTGGAGAGGGGGAGTTTTATTTACAAAAAGTTTGATTCTTCGAGAGAGAGGACCAGGAATAGTCCCTTGGCATGAAGAGGGTGTGGGTGGAGGGGAGGGGCCGGAAACGAGCTGTGAGGGGTGGGATGGGGTGGTGGCAGTGGAAACTGTGTGTGTGTGTGTGGGGGGGGGTTACCAAAGGGAGGGTCTTTTGGGTAATGTGAGTTGTGTTGGCCAAGTGGCCGGTTTATGACACATGAAAAAACCAGGCCCAGGAATTTAGGCTCGATAGAGCAGGGTATCTCCATAAAAAGAGCCCTGCCCGTTTTCCCTAGAGGTTAAGTATAAATACAAATATATTACTTTTCTTTTTCTTTCTTTCTTTCTTTTTTTTTAGAAAGCAGGATTTATTGAGAGGTCAGAAAAGCTCCCACAGTGGGAGGGGACCCGAAGGGGTTGCCCCAAATATATTACCTTTCACAGAGAACAAAGAGAGGACAAACACAGTAACTTAGTAAGTGTACCATCTAAACCAACTAAACTTCCTTTAGGCTTTTGAAATGCAAACTGTGGTTTGCTTTCGCACTCACAAATTCATTCCACAGAAGTTTATGGGGGACCTACCAGAGCTGGAATTTTGTTAGGAACCACGGGGGGTACAAAGATGAATAAAACTTGGTCCCTATCTCCCAGGAGTTTACAGCTCAGTGGTGGAGACAAACGTGTACACACAAGTCCTTACAACAAGAGGTAAAAATGTAAACACGGGGCTGTAGGGACTCGGTTCCCAGAGAGGCTGCGTAGCGGTGGTGTGGAGAATTAGAAAGCTCTTCTCCGACGAGTTGGTTTTTGAATCAGGCTCGCAGCTGATGTAGTCGACAGGGCTTCTTCAAGGCAGCAGCCGGGATCAGGGCTCTGGAAGCCCGTCGATGGGGCAAGGAACAGGGGTCTGCCTGGGACTCAAGGCTCCCCGAGGGGCGCGGTGGGGGTTTAGTTGGGTATCCGCCCAGTAACTGGGGCTGTGACCTGGTAGAAGCCGCCGAGCTGAGACTTCATTCCGCGTCTCCACGCTTCAACTTGGGCATCTGTGGGCCTCCTTGGGAAAATCCCCCTCTTTCCTACGGGGGTTCTGGCAGCTGGGGGTGGGGCTGGGACCATTTCCTGAAGTCCGCGCCAAGTGGAAGGTCGTGCCGAGCGCCCCCGGGCGACTTAAACCTCGCACTTCGGGAATCCGAGGGGGAAGCGCGAGCGAGGCCGGAGAGCGGACGCCCGCCCGCTGAGATGCCCCCAGCCCCCGGACCGCGCCGGCCCGAGCGGCACAGCTGCAGGCAGCGCCGGGAGCGGGGCGCGCGCGCCGGCCGAGCTCGGGCCCGCTTGGGCGGGCCGGGGTAGAGGCAGCGAGGGAGCGAGCTGGGGAAACCCTAACGATTGTTCCATGAAACCGAACGAACACTGAGGAATCAGTGGACACATTTATGGCCACATACATTCCGTGGGAATAGGGCAGTCCTTCCACACACACTTCTCAGAAAACGGGATACTCTCATGCATAATCCAGCAGTTGCACTTCCAGCATAAGCTACAACACATGTTAGAATATACAAGATAGAATAGTCTGTGATCTCACGGTTTAATGGTCCTTGTCCAAGAGCGGCCTGACTCC